GGTATTTCATTTGTGGACGGAAATTTTCCAAAATTTTCTGTTCAGTAACACTTTTTTTTTTTCTTTTAATTCATTAGGATCTTGATGAGTTCAAGACCATCCTTAAACCGCGCCTGAAGTTAATTGTGCAAAATGATGAACGGGAATGGTTTATTGTTTATGTATCCAAGGCTCACCCGAATAATGATCAAGCCACCAAAATGGCAAATAAAGTATATGCCAAGCTTGAAGTTGATTTCAGTTCCAAGAAGAGAGAAAGGTAGGCTTACTGCTTTTGTAATCAAATATGTTTCCTTGTTTAAATGGTTGGATTGAGTAGCATTGAGAAGTAGGTGTTGTGATTGTTTCATATACATATGATCACTTTTATAAGTGATTTTTTTTAATAGAAACTTTATAAATTCAAAAGAAAAGGAAACATTAGTGCGAAAATATTAGTGCACATTAGGCTTTTCCTAGTTTTCTTTACCCTCTATTCAAAGGTGTTCCAGAGTGTGTGTTTTCAAAATGGCTCTAAAATTTCCAACAAGAGGCTGGCTCAACTTATTTATTATAATGATATTGTCTGAGAAGCCTGCAGAAGTTAGCTTGAAGCTGGGTTCATATTAAATGTAATACCTCATTCTGTTCCAGAATTCCCATGCTACATTGTTAGCTAGCCTGTACAGGAGCTACTCGAAGTGTATCAATTGTTTTGTGGAATAAATTAGTATAATTTAAATCCCCTGTAGATCATTATTTTTTACAATACTCAACCGTTACACAACTTCTTTGTTGTTAACTAAGTCAACATGTGATCTGGAGGAATTTTGTTTGTAACTATAAATTTGACAAGAACATTGTTATTATACTGATAGGAACAGATCATTCTATACTTTATCTTAGCCAAAAGACGGAGAAAGGTATAGACTGTTGATGTTAGTTTCATGTCTTGATTATTGTTTATAAGATGAACTTGGGGATTTATTTATTTATTTATTTTTATTTATCGTGTATCGTATATTGACCATCTCACCAGCATAATTACAATTGGGTTGGGTTGGGTTGGGTTTTAATAATACCTGTATGTGTGGAAATTTTCTTTTCATTTCTTTTCAGTAACTTGCATATTGTATAATGTGAGTAGATTAGTGGTGAAAGCCTTTCCTCCTAGTGATTTTCTAATTTTCCGATCGTTTTAGTTATAGTAATCTTTGATTTTTGTCTGAAAGTAGATATCTCTACATTATCTTCATTATATACCATAAAATATGATGCCGACTATCACAAAAGGATAAATATAAAATTAAAGAAGTTAGTCTCAAGTTCGAACCCCCATGGCACCTTGGTAGTGTGTGTATGTGAGAAATCCCCCTCCCCTAGTTTAGACTATTGCTTGTATTGAAAAAAAACAAGAAGTTAGTTTGAGTTTGAATTTATTTGACCTAATATCATTTTATTTTTACAAACGTATTCTCTGCTTAGGTGTTGCAAGTTCGATCTATATTCCCCTGAAGCAAACTTTTGGGAGGACTTGGAATCCAAGATCATGGAGTGCATCAGAAATACATTGGATAGGCGTGTACAGTTTTACGAGGATGAGATACGCAAACTCAGTGAACAACGCTTCATGCCAGTTTGGAACTTCTGCAATTTTTTCATTTTGAAGGTTTCCCATTTTTCTCAATTTTTGGACTAGAAGAATTTGATTGAGGCTGCTTTGGGAAAATAGGATTTAACTGATTGTTTGATCAGTTGTGGATTTCATGCATAAATCACTTGTATTGAAAATCTTATGGAAGAACTTTTCTTGCGTTTGACTTATGTTATAAAAGTACATTTTGAATCCTACTTCAGGCAATTATTAGGCGCAAGTCCCACAAACCTTTGTGTCTTCAAATCCATATAACTTAAGCTATTAATCAGATTCTGCTTTCTGGATTCTTACTATAGTTGCTTCTCTTCTCAGGAAAGCTTGGCTTTTATGTTTGAGATGGCTCATCTTCATGAAGATGCATTACGTGAATATGATGAACTAGAAATTTGTTATTTGGAAACAGGTGCGTAATGCATATATCTTATTTAGCATTTTTGGTGTTGTAATACATTGTAATACATGTCATGATTTCTATATATGTTTCCTAATGAAAATAGTATCTTCACATAAAACTGCAAATGCCACCTTCAAATGCATGTATTTGGGATCTTTTCAGCTTTACTTTATCTACATTTTATAAGTTCTTAATAATTGACCATGCAAGTGTAATCAATGTTACGTTACTTTATGAAGGTGTAGCGGTGTTCATGAGTTGGGTGCCCTTGTTTTGTAAAAATGAGCAACCATTGACTGCTGTAAATATCATTTTACTCGTGATATTGAGATTCATTCATAATTTTCATTCTATCAATTCATGATATTCATAGAACACAATTTTGATCCCTATTTTCTGGGGAGTCGTGCTCATAATTGTGTTTTCTCAAAATCCATCGGCTAATATTCAAATCTTAATAAAGTACTCTTTTGTATTTTATAAATGTGAAAAGTTTGATTTGATTATGATCCAGTGATTGGTGAGCATGAATGTTTGTGCTCATCAGTCACTATGAGATCGTGTGTGTGTGTGTGTGCACGCTACTCCAAAAGAAATTAAAACTTGGAAATTCATCATTCTAACATAAGATTAATGCTTTTAAATGGTGAGATTCTGGACAACAATGGATTCTTCTCTTTCTTTCTTTTTCCTCTGGATAAGAAACCATTAGTGATTCTGTTTCATCTGATGCAGTTGAAATGACTGGAAAGAGGAAAGACTTTGGGGGAGTTGACCATGGGGATGATCAGGCAGCATTGATTAATTCTGGAAACAAACCATTGACACAAATCATTCAAGATGACTCATTTAGGGAATTTGAATTCAGACAGTATCTGTTTGCCTGTCAATCAAAGGTATGTGAAATTGAGTTGGTGAACTAAGCGATGTCACTTAAAATGATTCTGTCTGTTTGCTTTGTTTACAGCCTAATGTTATACGGCATGGAATACTGTGGCTTACTTTTGAATGTTCTGCTTATTGGTTGCTGGAATCCATTAGTTTAAATTTCATTTAGCATGCTGTAGTAAACTGTTGCTCCATTCCATCTAATTCCAACTGTATTTCTATAATTAGCGCTTCGTAAATGTGTTGATAGATGCTTAATAAGGTCATTCAACATGTTCATCATTCTCTCTCTCTCTCTCTCTCTCTCTCTCAAGTATGTAATGTAAACTAAATGGTGCAAGTGATGAATAAAAGTTTTACCAAGGGCATAAAAGAAACATCAGTGATTATTTACTCAATATAAGAAAAATAATCTGACCATTCAGAAAAAAAAAACAATCTTTCAGGTGGCCAGCCTTCTGGCTGTGCTGCATCATGGATGCATTTCAAAGACTTGCCAAAGCAGGGTGGCTTGCCTTCCGGTTTTGCCACTTCCCAAATGCATTTCAAGGGTCTGAAATGACTTGCAATGAATGGCCTAGGAACAACTGAAGCAGTTCATGATAGCCCTGACCCTAGATTTAACTTTGCACTCTTGGGGAGCAGATATGAATTGATTGGATTGATGGTTCGCATGTTACTATGACCAAAATTTTGGCAAATGTTCTGCACTATCGCTATAGGAGCATATTTAAATCAAAAGCTAGGTAGGGGAGAGAGAGAGAGAGAGAGAGAGAGGGTTGCTTTTCTAAAGAAAAAAAAGTCTTGATGCCTTTGGGGATGTTTTGTACTGGATTTCCTTTTTCAAATTTCAAATTTCAATCATGTCATTGCAGTCATTTTATTAGTTGAAAATTTGAGCCTTCAAAATCTAGTTTACGCATACAGTGGCTTTCTATTTTGCTGAAACAATAAATTTGAACTGCACCTTCTGATACATGGTTAAATGTAGCTTTTATTCAAGCTCAATCGCCCATTTGAAGTTGCAGCCAGGGGATACTCATTCATTATAAGCTTCTCAAAGTCTCTGGCAGTATATGAGGTATCTGGTATTCATTTTCTTGAAGTGTTTTTCACCATAACATCATACATATCTTGAGCTTTAGCATGATGATCACTTCTGACTTTTCTTTTTTCTTTTCTTTTTCCCACCTTTCCTGTTTTCTCCTTTTGGAGTTGTTTTCAGAATATTCTACCTTTTTGCATGCGTGAAGTTTGGGTAATAACAGCTTGCATATCCGTAGTCGATGCAACTGCTTCACATTATAAGGAAGGACTTGCAGCACCTGATATAGAAAAGGAGTTCTACCGCCTTCAAGGCGACCTTTATTCACTATGCAGGGTTAAGGTAAAAGTTCTTTGTATTTTTTAAGCAAGATGACCTTAAAATATTGTTTGGTTTTATATATTTAATCCCTTGATACACCATTTTGGAGTGTATTGATACAAGTGAAATGAAATCCATTGTTCAGCTGACAATCAAGATTAATTAGAGACTTTGTTTTGGAGATGCTTGCACTTTATTGAATTCATTGGCACCAGTGTTGTATATCATTCTAAGTGGCTGCACAGGACAGTCATGATATTTTATTTATATTTTTTTCTTAATTTCAAGTTATCTGTCATAAAATGCTCAATGATGTAAGGTATGTTTATGCAGTTCATGAGGCTTGCATATTTAATTGGATATGGAACAAATATAGAAAGGAGTCCTGGCAACAGGTACAGATTGAATCTTTGAAGATGAAAACCACTTTTAGCATTCTAGAAACAAGCTTCGACACGTAATCATAACAATTAGCTTTAATGCACCAGAAAGTTGCAGATGTTTTTCTCAATTTATTTTTGTGCTTTACCTTTCAAATCAATTGGACAGTGCTTCACTCAGCATGCTGCCTTGGCCCAAGCCAGTGGTTTGGCCCTCAGTACCACCTGATGCTTCCTCTGAGGTGCTGGCAAAAGAAAAGGTAAATTCTTAGTATGACACATGCAACATTGGACTATCAAAGTTAGGTTAATATTTTCACTAAATCCCAGGGGATGCATGTAGATGTAATTTTTCTCTGATAGAGATTACATCAATTTATGTCCGTCTAGTATGCCATTTGTATGAAACCAGAAAATTATAGTATTAGAAGGTTTATTGTTTATTGTTCTTGCATTTTCTCTGACTGTTTGGCCTGTCAATAATGTAGTATGAAGTTGTGGGCATGTTACAAGGCATTTACAAGTACTCCTTCTTACTCATATCCCTTAGCATTTCCATTAGGTTGAGGTGCTAATTAACCAAAAACCATCCTTGCTTTTCAAATTATGATTATCTCACATTTTTAAAAGCAGAAGATTTGACCCATTCCTACGAAAATTTCAGAATAGATCTTCTAACCCTCAAATTTCTCAAATTTGGAATGATTTAGACAATGATGAGGACATCTTTGTCAAACCTGTTAGGGTTTACTAACGAAAGAGATGGAAGAGGGAATTATTAATTAGTTTCCTAATTTATTTGTTAGTTCCTAGGCTCTCTAAGTTTTTCCAGATTTCAGTAGGATTTCTGAGTTTCCTATTTTATTTGGATTAGGATTTCTTTCCTAGAATAAGTTTAATTTTCCTTTTCACTCTAAGGGTAGATTATCATAAATACCCCTTCTATGTAATTCATTATTGGAGTTGAGATTTGAGATATTGAGTAAAGTTTATTTTCCAGAGATTGGAGACTTCTTGGTGTGCAGCCAAACCCCTGGAGTGATTCCAGACCTATCCTTGTTCGTTCTATTTTCTTTTTTCCATTGTTTTCACTTCCGCTAAAGTACCTAAACACTCAATTCACCCATATGCTACAGCAGACAAATTAATCATGTGAGTTTATAATTGTGAATTTAATTCAATAGTTAAGCGGATTTCATGATTTAGCACCTTTATCAAATCAACACATGGTTATTAGTGTCCTCTAAAGTTGATTGAGGGAAGACTTGATAAAGGTGCTAAATCATGTGGAAGTCTGGTGCAGGCAGTGATCTGGAACCTTTGGCTGGAACGCAAGAGGAGAATATTCGAGGATTATGAGACAGAGTGAAGTTCTGGGCTGCCCTTTGGGCATCAACTTCACCTGCTTTTAAGGATATTCCCTATCCTACAATTATGCGCAATTTGCAGGCTGTAGTGTCTAAGGGGTTGTCTTGTTGTTTGGCTGTTTGTTTTCTGTTTGGGTGGCCGTGTGTTTTGCTTCACTGGCTTTTGTTTCTTTCTTTCTGTATGTTTTATTTGTTCTTTCTTTTGTTTCCTTTCTTCTTTGAGTACAAATTGTTTCTATTCAAATAAATAAAAAATAAAAAATTGAATAGTTGAACCTTCGGTTTTTTTATAATGCCAATTTTACAACTTTTTATCTTCTAAAGTTGCTGTTATTGTTGTTAGTATTGTTCACTTGATTTTTTTAGAGTTTCTTGCAAAAGCATTTTTCTCCCCTTAAATTATTCTTCTATCTACTGCAGATTATTCTCCAGGCAACTCCATCAATCAAGCACTTTGGTATTCAGAGAAAACCATTGCCTCTCGAACCTTCCCTACTACTACGTGAGGCTAATAGGAGGAGGGCTTCCCTTTCTGCTGGAAATATGGTTGAAATGTTTGATGGTCGCCAAAATTTTAGTGATGGGTAATAGAAATTCAAGAATTGAAGTAAATGCAGTGCTCTTTGAGTTTTACTAAATATTTTCACCTCGAGTAGTATTTTTATGTCTCTAAACTTCCTTTTTTGAGTTGTAATGTAGTCATGATGTATGATGGCAGTTCAGGTTCGGATGCATCATTAAAGATGCCCTCATTACAAAAAGTACAAGCAAGTGTTATGTCACGCACCAACTCTTCACCAGGAATTTCCGAGAGCTCAATTGATAAGCCCATGAGACTTGCTGAAATTTATGTTGCTGCTGAAAATGCTCTGCACAACACAGTTTCTAATCCTGATCTATGGAAGTCTTTGTCATCTACAGAGGAGTTTGAGGTACAAGCACAAATGAAGCATGCACTTGCTTATTTTTGGTTTACTGTTCATTCGGGATCTTCAAATGATTAATTCCTCTATACATGCTGTATAATTTTTAGTTAATTTGTTTTTCTTGTTGACATCTCTCTTGTCAATGATAAATCCATCCTGGTTAAAAATATTTTAGCTGTATATAAACACTTCTAAGATGATATTCCTTCTACTTTCAGAAAACAAAAATATGACGTACCTTAGATTTTGTTTTTCTTACCACATAAAAAGTTAGATTTCTTTCCTTTTTTAGCAGTATTACATAGAGAACCTGGATTTGTGATTAAGATTCAGTGTTTTAGTTGTGGAATTTGTTGTTCTCTCTCTCTCTCTCTCTCTCTCTCTCTCTCTCTGTGCATATCAGCCAAATTGTCCACATGCATTCACTCAGTTTTCTAAATTACAAATTCTGGCGTTGACAGCAAAAATATCTGGAGCTAACTAAAGGTGCTGCTGACAATTATCATCGATCCTGGTGGAAAAGGCATGGAGTTGTTCTTGATGGGGAAATAGCAGCCGTCTGTTTTAAGCATGGAAACTTTGATCTGGCTGCAAAGTCATATGAAAAGGTTTGTGCACTTTACGCAGGTGAAGGATGGCAGGATTTATTGGCAGAAGTTCTACCCAATTTAGCAGAGTGTCAGAAAATACTCAATGATCAAGCTGGCTATCTTTCATCTTGCGTGAGACTGCTTTCTTTAGATAAAGGCTTGTTTTTTACCAAGGAACGCCAGGCTTTTCAGTCAGAGGTTGTTCGTCTTGCACATGGTGAAATGGAGCAACCTGTGCCACTAGATGTGTCATCATTAATTACATTTTCTGGTAATCCTGGGCCTCCATTAGAATTATGCGATGGGGATCCTGGTACTCTATCTGTAACATTCTGGAGTGGCTTTCCTGATGATATAACTCTTGATTCACTAAGTCTCACATTGAATGCATTATTTAATACTGATGAGGTTGCTAAGGTAAGCTTTCTTGGACTTGCAATGCATTTTTAGCACACCATTTGAGGTTATAGGTTGTATGAGCATTATATATGATACTAATGAATTATTCATCTGATATTTCAGGCATTAGTGAGCTCTACTGCAATTGTATTAAAGCCCGGTCGGAATACCATTACCCTGGATTTACCCCCCCAAAAACCAGGTTCATATGTTTTGGGGGTTCTTACTGGGCAAATTGGGCAGTTAAGATTCAGATCTCATAGCTTTTCCAAGGGTGGCCCTGAAGACAGTGAGGATTTTATGAGTTATGAAAAGCCTCCTAGACCTATCTTGAAGGTGCCGTTTCTGAACTGTAGCTATGTTGCTACCCATTATATCCCGAAATACTGGTTTACCATTGTTCTTTTATCTATACCTGTAAATAAAATTGTATCCAGAAGCAGTACATAACTTTGAGATTAAGCTTGGTTTCATTTCATTTAAGATGTCCATGTGGTATTGTACCATCTAATTGACCTCTTTTTTAGGTTTTCAAACCAAGACCTCTGGTTGATCTTGTTGCAGCTGTTTCATCTGCTTTGCTTATAAATGAACCTCAGTGGGTTGGGATTATTGCAAGGCCCATTAACTACTCCCTCAAAGGTGCTGTCTTGTATGTTGATACTGGACCTGGTCTTAAAATTGAAGACTCAAATTTCATTGAGATGGAAAGTTATGCTGATACATCAAAGAGTTCAGTGGGCGTGGCAGACTGTAATGGTACTCCAAAAGATGGTTCTTTGGCTGTTGATAAAATATTTGAGAAGTTGACTTTCTGTGATGATAGAGTAGAGTTTCCACATTGGGCAAGCAACTTGACATCTATTTTATGGATTCCACTTCGTGCTAACAGCGAAAACCTTGCAAGAGGATCATCTTTAGGTTGTGAACATGATGCAATTCTTTTGTTTGTGTTTTTATATTTTATATGTTGTAAATGCTCTTTGTTGCATCCAACTGCTTACCTGTATATGATGCATCATGTCTTATTGCAGTGGCTCCCCAGAGACAGAGCATTGTGGATGGAATGAGGACGATAGCACTCAAACTTGAATTTGGAGCATCTCACAATCAGATATTTGAGAGGCATTTCTCATTTTACATCATCCTCGCATATCTTTATTTGGATTATGTTCTATTTGTTGTTTTTAGCTTTTCAAAGTTGCCTTTTATTGATTATAAGTTGTCTGAATATATACATATATATGGCCTGATATGCAGGACCCTCGCTGTGCATTTTACTGATCCTTTTCATGTGAGCACACGAGTTGCAGATAAATGCAATGATGGTACTTTGCTTCTGCAGGTATTTGTGATTTAGTGTTCAGAAGCACTCTTCTGTTTGTAATATTAATAATGTAGAACCAATGCCACATTTTAACGAATCAGTTTTCTGTACTGTAAAGATTGTGGGATATCCCTCAAAAATCATAACCAGATATGTAAGAGTTATTTTCTTTTTCATATCATCCTTGGAGATTTCACTCCATATTCTGTTATCTCATCTTTCTTTTATTGTTTTAATAGTTGTTTATTTGTCTGAATACTGGCATGATGCGCTGGACATCATATAATAGTTATTATTTTCATTGGTACTTTACCATTATGAATATAGTTAACTACCAAAAGTTGAAACATAACATATTTTTGTGTCCTAGCTTGGTGGTGAGATAATTAAAACGTGACATGTGTGGCGTCCTATGTACGTGTTGAAACATGGGAATTGTGTCAGTCTCCATAAGATGTCATTGTAGCCAATTACCTTAGCATGAATGATGCTTTTGTGCATATTATAAATCCATGAAACAGGAGAATACGGTATTTGTGGAGTCCTTGAAGATTGGCAGTTCATATGTTTTGTGTGCTCATGAGTCATGAGTCATGATAATTATCAATATCTTTAGTAGTATTTAGTTCCTCTCTGATTTCCACATTGGTGGACTACTTCCAGGTAATACTACACTCTGAAGTGAAAGCCACATTGACCATCTATGATGCTTGGCTTGATCTTCAAGATGGATTTGTTAATACTGGACAAGGTGATGGGAGACCAACTTCAGGCTACTTTCCACTTACTGTTCACTTATGTTATAAATGTTTTCATGTTTCTAAGCTTCCATTTTTTAAACACAAACAAATTGATGCTTGTTCAAGAGTGTATTTATAATTAATTTGCAGTGATATCATGTATATGATATCTGGGGAGAGCCAATAAGCTCAATCATTTTAGGTTGTAACACTTAGTGTGAACTTGTAAGGACTAGGGGGGTGAAAGAAGTAATGGCTAATGGGTTAGTATGAAAAACTGCATATGAGATGCAGCATCCAAAAGACCTTAGGATACTATGAAGTCTTAAACTTCATCATTCAGCCTCATCAACCTGTTATGGTGAAGGCTGGCTTCTTTGTGAATTTAGGATTACAGTCATCCAAGCAGTTCACTTGTTTATCTCCAGTAATCTGTTAAGGTTGGGACTTTTGCTGATGGAATCCTTTAAAATGTTATGCCTATGTCAAGCACCCAAAAAAGGCCACTGCCATGTCTTCATTGTCATCGCTGTCAATATGGATTTAGTTGTGAATCTGTTCTGTATTTATCATTTTCATGCAATTGACAGAACCAATGCGTCTTTTGTTGTATTTTTCTTGCAGATGAACCTAAGGCTCTGCAATCAGATAGTATACTGAATATTAGATATGGAATTTCTGGTGATAGAACCATTGGAGCGCACCCACCTGTGGCTGCAGAATCTTCTGGGTCTGAGGATGATATACAGGACTTAATTTTCAGGTGTGCTCTTGCTTTGCAAAGGCCTGTGCTTGATCCGGTCCTGGCTGTTGGTTTTCTTCCTCTCCCTTCTAGTGGGCTTAGGGTTGGCCAGCTAGTTACCATGAAATGGAGGGTTGAAAGATTAAAGGATTTTGAGGAGAATGAAGTATCCCCTAACAATGTAAGTCACAGTCTGATTCTATTGAACAATTAAGAAGTGATGGTCAAATCTTAGGCTAATGATAATTTACCCTCTGATTTTCACTTTCATTTCTGAATGAGCATTAACTTCGGTGTTTAACCATTTTTAAGTCAGCTGGAAATTCATGTACTTGCCATGTACTTCATTGAGTTGTTTCACCTAAAACATGAGGTGGTAATGGTATGGTGTGTGTCTTTTTTCTGTTTTCAATACCCCCTTGATGTGAAGCTTATTTTTATGCTTCGTATTTGTTGCTTTAAAGGAAGGGAAATAGTAAAAAGTTGTTTAGACCTTAAAATACAACCAAAATTCCATCCAACTGAGTCTGAACCATTTTGGCTAGGTTGAATTCAGCTTTTCAGTTTAGGAAGGTAAAATTTCATAATTAGAACGAGGTGTTGTACTTTGTCTTACTCATTTTTGACTGCGTGAAGTGGAGTAGAGTGAGACCATCTGTATGTTTAGTGTATTTTTAAGTTCTATCCCGCTACCTTTAATAGATGCAGAATGAGGGTTGTGGTACAACTGTCATTTGTTAAAATCTGAATACTTTAGGTGATTATGGCTCAAGCATAATGGACTGCAATTATCAAAAATAAAAACAAAAAATGAAAATCATATTTCTAATCTTTTGTGCTTGTATAGGATGAGGTGTTATATGAAGTCAGTGCAAATACTGAGAATTGGATGATTGCTGGGAGGAAAAGAGGGCATGTTTCTCTCTCTGCAAAGCAAGGTTTCTTGAACTACTTAACCTCACATCTGTTTTCTTCAAGGAAAATACATTGTGGTTCATAGCTCTGAAAAATGGTTTTACTTGTCTCCTTGTTATGGCATCTTCATTAAATTTTTTAAATTCTTACCATGGCAGGTTCAAGGATAGAAATCTCAATATTATGTGTGCCTCTAGTGGCGGGTTACGTTCGTCCCCCTCAACTTGGTCTGCCAGATGTTGATGAATCGAATATAAGTTGCAGTCCGGCTGGGCCTCATCTGGTTTGTGTCTTGCCTCCGATTCTGAGCTCCTCTTTTTGCATTCCAGCATGATTGCTCCGAGCCCAGTTTCTTCACCTGGATGCAAGTTGTCACAGGTCATTAGACTTTCCACTCTATATGCTTCTGATACAGTTATAGAGATAACATTTAGGTTTCCCTTTTTGATATCCTGGGAATTTGTAAATCTGTATCTTTCTTTTATCATAGTTAAAAAATCAGCGTAGTTGAGATTAGTTTGCGTTGGTAGGTTTTCCGAGTATTCACTGTGTCGTATGTTATTTGACATCCTGCCTTGTGTACAGCGGAATTTGTATTTTTCTTGTACAATTCAGCCTAGAGATCCACAAAGGACATCCATTTTTTTGTTCCTTGGTGTAAAATTCATTGTTTTGAACTTTTGATAGAATATTGAATTCAGAAGTGTACTGGTTATATTGGTAAAGTTGTCTGGTTTCTTCGAGTGCATAAAGTTCGTATGGTTGAAGCCTGTGCTGTCATTTCACTTCATTTCTGGGTAAAACAGGATGGACATGTTTGCTTTTGAGAGTCTTGAATGTTTGTCTTTATTTATGAAAAATTTTACAATAGAGGGAATTGAACCCTTGACCAATCCGAGCAGCGAACTCATTTGGAACACTTCTTGATTGATTGTAAGGCAAATTTTTAGATGCACCTTGAGTTTTGACAAATAATACATAACCAAAAAGGTCTTGGGCGGTTTTTCTCTTGGAGGTTTGCTTAAAAACATGTGTATGAGAATATTGAAACGCTTGCACAGCCAAAACGAAACTATGAAATTTCTTCTTTTACCTCTCGCTTGTATGGGGTCAACAATTTCGAATTTTTATTCAAATGCAAAAACAAAAACAAAAACTCTAATTAAAGAAAAAAGAATTGTTGAGTGGAACCAATTTTCAAGCTGCATGTAGGAGTTCCAATTTCCAAAAGATTATTATCAATTTTTCCTCTAGTTGTCTCAACCAGAAAGAAGCAAGTAAAAGGTTTCTGGTTCGCAAAGCAGCAAAACAACAATAGAAGTGGAATGACAAAAAATGGCAGTAAAAAGAAGAAAAAAAAGGTCCCACCGAGATTTGAACTCGGGTTACTGGATTCAGAGTCCAATGTCCTAACCACTAGACCATGGGACCGATGCGTTCAATGTTTACATGATTCGATATTTATTTAACTTCTGCGATGAAGGTCCCACAGTTTGCAATAAGATACTCGTCTATAGGCTATAGACTATACTAACTTTTGCACCAAAGGAAAATTCTTCGGCAGGTCCATACAATAACCCTGACAAAAAAGCCAAATTTTTTTTTTGGAACTCCTTTCTTCATTTTAGGTTATTTTGACCCTTTTTTTTTATGTGAAATTACGATGACACCCCTTTTCATCTTGAATATATAAATCTACGATCAGAACCACCTCACAACCCACACCAACAAAATTGCCTCATTCACCCACCGACTAGCTCCAACTCAGATGGTCCGACCCAAATTGACCACACTCCAAACCAACGAAATTGCCTCCTTCATCCATTGGTCAGCTACAACCCAGACGGCCCGATCCAAATTAACCACACCCCAACTTCCATAGTTGACGATATCTTTGGCAAGAGGTCTCGATGTAGGGTTTTATCACAAAAGGTCTCGATGTTATTAGTAATGAAATTAGTCATTTAAATATTGTATTTTATTTTGTTTCGTTAAACTTACAATGTGGGATTTCATGGTCTTGAACATTCACTAAATTCATTAAGATTGTGACAAATAGCTCTTACATATTGAATATTCGATGTGCAAGAAATGAAACTGAATCAGATATACAATAACGATACGGGCATCAACTTGTTTACCAACTTTTGGATACCAACACATGTGACACATGACATGGCAACCCATGTCATCTGTCATCTCATCTATTTTAATATTGGTGCCTGTAGCGTTATTGAATATTAAATGGGTTTTTTTATATTTAATTATATCTTTTTTCGGCGAGAAATTCTTTTATTTATATAATAAATTATGTAATTAAAATAGATGAGATGGCAGATGACATGGGTTGCCATGTCATGTGCCACATGTGTTGGTATCCAAAAGTTGGTAAATAAGTTGGTGCCCGTAGCATTATTGTAAGATATATAAGTGGAATTTCCAACCCACGTGGTTAGGGGTGAGCATCAATCCAGCCAAACCGGCTAAACTGGCATATATGAATTGTAATGATCGGTTTTATTTGGTTTTGACCAAGGAAAAAATCAAACGGTTTAAAAACCGAACCAGATCCTAATGTTTGGTTTGATTCCGGTTTTGAGGTTTTGCAAACTGGCCTAAACCAAACTTGATTGTCTACTTGTATATTTATATTTATTTTATTTTATTTTACACATGTAGTCCTCTCAATGTAATAACTAGATATGAATGTTGAATTAGAAGTTTGATGGAACTTTCAAGTTATTAATATTTGAGTTGTTTGTAACCATATTAGTTATGAGCTTTGAAGTTTTATGACATGTTGAATTTTAGGATAGTTTGATATGCTAGAAAATGAAAAGAAAAATATGTAGCAAGGTATGAAATTTTTTTGTTGTAATTAGGCTACCAATGTTGAAAAAATACAAATGAAAAAAAAAAAAATTGGGTGTAGGGCCAAACCGGCCAAACTAAACTGAATCAAATTGTCTTAAATTGGTTTGATTTGGTTCGGTTTCCTCGATTTTTGTCATAACCGAATCAAATTAAACTGTTCTGTTGTCATTGATTCGACTGCAATTTTAAAATAAAACCGATCCAATTCAAACCGTATCCACTCCTACACATGGTATAGTCAATTAAATTTGAGGAGCCATATAGATTTTAACTTTTCCAACCCATGGCATCTTAAGTAATTAATTTTGCTATTTGGTAACCAGTGACCAGACAACAAATTTGTTATGTGATAGTTGTGTAAGCAAACAATATTAAATTTATAAATTTTTTGGGGAGAAAAAAAAAAAAAAAAAGGTTATGTAACTCAATAATTTACTTCCTTGACTTGAGATTTCCAACAAGGGGATTTACCTTTATTAAATGAAAAGGAAAACATAAGGTAAACACGAACTATAAAATGATGTGTGAGACAGACGGAGCTATGCAAAATCAGAGACCCCAGAAAGTTGCATTTTCTTATCCAATATTGTTCCCAACTAACTCGTTTCCCATTTTGTTTCCCTGTCATTTGCTCTGCGATGGTGACCAGACAACGTATGTCAGTAATCTACTTTTAATCAACTTGACCATCACAAATATTCTATACCATACTTATTAACTAAAAGGAATCTAGAAAATATATATATATATATATATAAAGAAGATGCCAATCTCAGATCTGTTTTAAAATTTTCTAATTTCTTTTTGTTTGTAATTACATCCATAGTTAGCAAAATTTCTCCAAATAGGACGAAACAGGGTCCAAGTGGTATGTCCAGCCACCCCACTTTCAACTAACATATTATTATCTTCAACTTATAATCATTCTTGAAAATTCAGATACGGAGTGTTAATAACAGTTCTCTTAACTTCATATTCATATTGTGTGTCGACTTAAATTTTTTTTAAAATCCAAAATTCATAATTTAATCAGTCAAATCAGGATAGTTAATTACACCATCAATAATTCCTCATCAAGCATCCACTTCAGCAGAAAAACTTATATGAAATGGGGATAGTACTGTTTTGTTCTCCTCAACCAATCACAAAATGTCACGTAAAAAAATTATCACACGTGGCATGTCGTGATTGAATGAAAATAACAAAATAATATTATCCCCGTTTCAGACAAGGGGAGTTCATACACCAAATCTCTCACTTTTTTATTTTTTATTATAGTAAATTTGGCTTACACCCTTCAAATTCAATTTGCCATACCTAAAACCCTTCACTTTTTGTTCTTATAAATAATACCCAATTTGTATAAGTAAAAACCCATGACTAGGATTTAACTCAGCAAGTTACCTAATTAAGCATAAAATCTGATTTATTATACTTTTTAGATTCCAAAAATACCCTCGACTAAGCCATTATTGTATTTTGTATATAGGAATCAATATGGAAACAATTTTTAATTGGATTGTATATAATGACAGATGTTGAATTTGGAAAGATCTCCAAATGGTTGTAATGGATGTAGGAATTAATTTTGAAACATTTTTTAAAAAAAATTAACAATAAATTCAAATTTGGGTAATCGGTTTGTTTAATAAAATGTTTATGTTATTTTCTTTTTATGAATTATACATGACTAATAATCCACTTTATAATTGTTTATGAATAAAACTATAAATACTAATTATGTTGAAAAAAAAAATGTACCTATTACTTGTTTGTTTTATGAAAAATATAATTTACCTAGTATGAAAAGTGTACATAATTATCTATTCTAATATACCTACATTATATGACATCCACTATACCTACATTAATTTTAATGTACTTACAATTAGGATTTAGGTATTATATGTCATCCAATGTACCTACCATTTGAATAATATACCTACTACGAATAAAGTACCTATTATTTATCTAATTAATG